GGGGGGGGAGAAGGGGGCTCTTGGAGGCTATGGGCGCGTGGGTGAGGTTCTGGACGTGGACAGCGCGTCCTTGGCAAAAGGGTAATCACGGGGACAAAGTGCCCCGGCCGCGACGTCACAACGACATCTTGAGTCTTTATTTCCGGTTTGTATGATGATAATCTGCATGAGTGACAAAGGCCGATGCTTGGCTTCGCAGACCAGAGTGAGGTGGAAAGAGAACGGGTGAAGAGGGGTGGCAGGCCTTTCTGGGGGGAAGGTACAGGGGGGCGAGGAAGGCCGAGGGTGAGGTTGGCGTGCCTGGCAGAGTATCGTCACAGAGCAGTGTGGGGGTAGAGGGGAGACGAAGCAAACATAAATTGGCCCACGGTTGAGCAGCGGGAGGACAGGTGAGCCCACCCGCCTAGCGCTCTCTGTCTTTTTCTCATTCTAGATCGTCCCCGAGCTTCAAGCGGGGACGATCAGACCGTCAAAACCTTTTTTTCATAACCCTGGTCCGGTGTCCTGGCCTGGGTGACCCACAATGAGAGAAAAAATGGTTCAAATCTCACAAGAATCGTTTGGGCATCATGGCACCTGCAAATATTTCACTTCCTGGATGAAATTAAATATGGAAAAAACAAAACAGAGGACTCTGGAAAATAATAGACCTTAGGCACTCGAGGGGTTGTTTCCCTCGTTACACGGGTGGTAGTAGTAGTAGTAGTAGTAGTTTGTTGCGTGATTTCGTTTTTATTCCTTCCTTCCCCTTTCGTTGTTTTTTTCTTGTGAAGAATAATGAACATTGGTATCAGGAGGCGTTGAGTTCGCGTGCCGGGAAGTGCTAGCCGGACAGCTGACCCCGGGAAGGGGCGAGAGAGGGATGAAGAGAGGATGAGGGGGGATGATGGGGGGTGGCAGAGAGAGAGAGAGAGAGAGAGAGAGAGAGAGAGAGAGAGTAAGATGGAGAGCACGAGAGATTGGACTCGTTGCGGTATAATTACGCAGGATAATACGGTTATGTTGGTAACGCTACCGACTCTAACAAAACAAGCGCAGCAGAACTACCAACCTCAACTCGCAACCCTTGCTGCACCGCCACGATTGACAAGAGCGCAACTGTTGATACCAGTAACGGAGCCGTGATGGTGGAACACAATGACCAAGACTCCCCTCCCCCTTCTCCCCCCCCCCTCTCTAACACAAAAGCACACTCACACGCAGTCGCTGTCTCTCCTCCCCACCTGCGAGCGCCTCCCCTCCCCTCCCCGCTCCGCGGTATGCTCGCTGCCCGACACCTCTGCACAGCCGGTTGCCTACCCCGACTTTACAGGCGCCCTCCCTCCGCTCTCGCCGGGCCCGCCTCGTGCCGAGCTCTCCGACACTGAGAAGTGGGACTGAGCTACAGCGCGCAAGTGCACAAGCATTAGGGTACGACTCGGGGTACGACGACCGTGTAGACCACGTAGGCTGACCATTATTTGCTGGCCATCAGGTGGACAATCTAATTCTGAACTTTTATCTGAATGACGGATAATAAAACCCTCTAAAGCTGGTATTGAAATCAAGTGCATTTTCTTAAGAGAAGTGCATGCGCTCGAATGAACCGAGTACATACACCTGTTTCAAGAAAATAAACTTGATTTCAAGTACCTCTTTTTGCTTGGGGTGTAAAAGCGGCGGAAATTGGATGCACCTAACTACAACGCACTGAAAAGGGAAAGGGTCCGGAGGTACAAACTAGCCTCACTATAACAATATGACAAGGGCCACGGACAAAACTTTCGAAGGTCACAGAGTCGGAACTTCCGCGAAAGTAGTTCAAAAAGAAGAGCGGTTGGGTGAGGGGGGTAAGGACGCACGCCGTGGGCTTGGCTAGGCTGGTGGTGGCGGTGCTGCCCTGCACGCAACAGGGCTAACCCCCTGCCCTGCAGACGCACAGGGAAAGGGCGCCCACCCCAGACTATGGTGAGGCGGATACAGGGGAAGTCGATGGGCCGTCAGAACAGTAAACATAGCACCGGAAATAGGCGACGTCGAGGAGGCCCAGTAGGGTGTATCGCAAACGGGAAATGGCATGGAGCAAAAGTGAGAGGGAAAAGGAGAGGGAGGGAGAGAGGGGGAGAGAGGGGAGGAGAGAGAGAGAGAGAGAGAGAGAGAGAGAGAGAGAGAGAGAGAGAGAGAGAGAGAGAGGGGGAATTCATAGAATGCGATTCAATTGCAATCATTGCAATCGTCGGGAATGCCAAGTTCACTGGTGTAGTGCGGCCCGAGGTCGCGAGGTACTTGCACCCGCGGATCGCGCCAACATCCATCACCTTCAGGAGGACTGATTGATATCGACTGCAGCGGCTGACTTGGCACTTGTGGCCGGTGAGGGATTCCGTCAGAGGGTTGGGGCGAATAGCTCCTCTCAAAGTTTTGCAGGCGGGCGAGTGTCTCTTACATCACGCGGCCACAACTTCCCGAAAAAGGCACTACTGCAACCGTTTATTGATGTAAATGTAAAACACAGCTCCTTCGTTCGTTTGGTTGCAGAGACTGCATGGCGCGGTCAAACTCGGAACTGGAGCGGTACATCGCTGGCCTGGAGACGGAGTTGGACCGCCACGAAGAGGAGCAGGCACACCGTAAGTCAACCCATATAAGCGCGTAATTCACAATCTTTAACATGCCGTCACTAGAGACAAGACGTCGCTTTTCGAGTAAACGTAGCGACCTCTCACAAATTTATCGACTTGATGACAAATCTCATGTTGTTTTCACGTTTCATTGTTTTATTTTTATTTATTTTTTTTGTGAGTAGTCGCGCTCAGCGGGGCACTCCCCCGTCTTACGCGCAGCCGCCGCCGCGGGACGCACAGCTCCGCGCGGCGGACCTATAGCATAGCATAACCCGATACGCATGGCGAATTTATATTTATTCCCGCCCAGGTATAAACGATCGTAGGCGATAAATTGTCCGCTATTTTATGACACGGCCCGCGGTTTTACAGTCGCCGGGGCCGCGCGCTCAGAAGGGCGTATCTCGCGGCGATCGGCGCGGACGCGGAGCCGACGCACACAAGCGGTACTTCATGATCGCATCGGGACGATCTGTTATCGATCGTTAGGCACATCGTCGCCCGGGTGTGACCGGCGACGTGTCGTGGCCGCGGATATTTAAGGACTCGCGAGCCACATAACCTGGAAATAATATGAAAGAAAACAAGGTGTGGGCCTGGAGTGAGCTTAGAGAGACGTGAACAGCCTCCAACTCTTGCTCGTCATTCGATTCCAAGTCGATACGAAGATTGTAAGTTTACAACTTTACGATTAATTGTACGATATCTTCCATGGAAAATTTTCCCGTACCCGGTACAACAAATTTTCATGTAAACAGTAGAGAATAGTTTCCAAACGGTAAACATTGTCCGCAGTTTCTTCAGGTAAATTGTAGTGAAAGTGGGCCTCACGGTGAGAGAGAGGCACAAGCCAAGCAGAGACCCCGAATATATTTATACACGGAGCTGCTGTCGTTTTATGACAGCGACTGCCCCGCCCCGCCCCGCCCGTACCAGGCCCAGCCCGTGCGCAGCCCCCCGCGGCCGCCCCCCGCTCCGGAGACGGGCCCCGCGCCTCGCGACGGTCGACCTGCCCTCGTTGGGGTAGGCGGCGGCGGCGAGCGAGGCGGCGACCGGCTGCGCCCGGAAACTGGTGCGACAGCGGGGCAAAAAGTCAACTTCTGTCACCGGCGATGACACCTGCCGGGCTAAAGCCAGCTGACGATCCAGTTGTTCTTTGCTGAATGGTAAAAACTTTTGACCTTGACTTCGTGTTGCATTAAGAGGAATGTTGACTATCTAGAATTTTTAACACTACCATGGAATAGAGCCACCTAACTAGTATACTTCTTAGATCTGCAAGTACAAATGTAATTTCGAGTTACATGGTCTTTCGTCTCAGTGTGTGTGTATTTGACGGACTCATAAGCCAAGCCATGCTGATTTTCTCTTTCACTCCCCTATTTTGAGCCAAATAAAGGAAATAAAAAAGAACTGAGATGGAGAAATTGAATTTTTAACCACCTCCCTCGCTCGCACCGAGAAACTTGTATTCTTAAACGAAGTAAAATTCGTTTCAAAAATACAAGAACATTTCATTTTATCCTTGCTTTAAGGCATTCCCATTTTTGTTTTCATCAAAATTTTGTTAATCTACCAACATTTTTTACTTTACCTTACGGATATTTGCCCTTTTTTTTTTTTTTTTTTTTAAAGGTAGACTTTATGCAATACATATTTCGCCTCGTTTCAAGGATACCATAATCCGGGTGCGGTCTTACGCCCCATACGTGTCTCAACCTTTAACCTTTGTGCACCTTTTTGCTTTCTGCCGCTCCTCATCGCGGTGAAAGGCTTTGGCTGCCGTATGGGGTCCCCCCTCGGGTCCCCCCGCGGCCGCCGCGGCCCCCACGAGGGCGCCATCACTTTCCCACGCCATGGCGCACGCGGGCGCGCGCGCGCGGCGGTTCACTTGGGCGGATGGGTCTGTTATAGTCGCGTCGCATGCGAGGAGCACGAGGATGCGGAGGGGAGCCCGGAGGGTACCTCATCGGGATCAATATAACAAACACAGCAACATCCCGTTCAGGCTGGCCGCTCTCCTGATCCCGGGCGGCACGCGCCTCGCCGGAAGTGGGTGTGGCAGCCCTGACCCTGGCCGCCGCACCACCGCCGCCGTGCCCGGCTGACCCGCCAGCCCGCAGAGACGCCGCACGGACCGATCTCGTTTTTGTTGTTGTTGCTTTTTGCGCCGTAAAAGCACCGTATGTTGTTTGTTGCAGGTTCGCAGGAGGCGGGCCGACACCTCTGGTGGGGGCGCCTGGACGGTCAGCTGGTCCTGTGCCGCCAGCTCGAGGCGCGCCGGCGCTGGCTGGAGCAGGAGGTGACCTACGCCCGCAGGATGAACGGGCTAACCGGTGAGGAGCGTCAACCTGCACACGGAGATGCGCACGAAGATGCACACGAAGCTTCAAATCAAATTGGCATTTTCTTGTTTACCGTAAAAGACAATCCCATTGCATTGCAGTTTTTGATATATAATGTACGGCTATTTCCAAAAAACAAATCAATGGGATTTACTAAAATAATAGTAGAGATTTATAAAGAAAATTTCAATTTCAATCGGTATCAAGAAAATGCAATCCGAAAACAGAGCGAAGGGAGTTATCGAAGCGTGGCTTATGGCCCAGGGGCGACTAGATGGCCTGTGCATGCATCCACTTAGTCGCGCTCCGTTCTGTGTTACAGATCCGAATCTGGACCCGCTCACGCTCGACCTGGATTCACTGTCTGAGGTGAGTCTAGCCCGGCGGTGCCCGCGGACACACGGCCCACCCCCGCGGACAAATCCGACCATTGTCTGTGCGGGATAGCAGCGCCCCGTCTGGGCGTCCGGTGTAGGAAAACTCCTCACCTCTGCCCTAGAAACGTCTTTTGCGCCGTTTCTATTTATTGACCTACGAGGCCCCGCCTCTGCACCACAAACTATGCACCTCTCACGGAACGAAGTGGGTAGTATGAGAAATAAATGTTCCAGATGGAGCTGATCATCGTCGTCCGACAGCTGGAGCGCATGCGCGAGGACCTGCAAGCAGCGCTGCGGCACAAGATATGGAGCCCAGAGAGGGACAAGGCAAGTGCCTACAAGACTACACGCGATCCTCCTTGTTTTATTGTATCCGAAAATAAGAGATATAACCCTCAAAGGAAAAGTGTTTATAAATACATAACAATCGTTTTAGTTACAGCCAGATCCGCTTTTACTTCAGACTTAACATAGCTGAGACTAACTATTAAAACCCCTAAAGTTGGCAAGGAGCCCTCGTAGTTTGCGCTGAGTGTGCGGAGTTTTATGAATCTCCACCAGCACGACAAAACTAAAGAATACTAACCCTGCAAACCATCTTGTGTGTTGCTTGTCGTCGGCACGCAGGACTACGACGCGTCGCGCACTGTGCTGGCCGAGATCCGTCACTACCGCCGCACCCGCAAACCGAACACGGGCTCTCACCCTGCGCTGGACGACGTGGGCACCACAGCGGCGGGCAACTCGCCGGGGGCGGGGGGTCCACGATGGGAGTGAGTCCAAGGGCCCCTGGCCGGGCGGCGTCCCTCGCACCAGCCACCACCACCGTCACCGCTGCCATAGGTTCTTATTGCTTTGCATACAACATTACCACAATTCTTTTCATGCGGGTTGGAACGTAACTTATAAACAAGGGCGCAGGGATTCGTCCAGAAAGTACGTCCGTTTTTATTCTCAGATGTTCATTCAGCAAGTGAGGGAGCTTGGCGCCTGCGAGACTCGGGATAGGCCACGCCGCAGTACACGCATGCACCGCAGGCAAGATGTTGCCTACGTGGCAGGCGCTATGAGAGCTCCTCGAGTCATTGTCTTGTAGCAATTTCGTAACGGCGATCAATGGACGTACTTTCCGCATGATCCCGAATTAGGAGGGGTTAAATGTTCAAATGTTCTTACTTGTCTTGGCTCGTTAAGGTGAAGGACTACTCTCCTTTACTTAACAACTTTCTGTCAGTCTTATGCAGAGTTCTGAACTTCTTCAAGTCATCTCATCATAAAAGTTTTCCTTGTGTTTCATCAGGGGGTAAGGTTTGCTTAAAAGCAATCGCAAAAACATCGCTCAGATGATTAATGAATCAAGAGTAGACACGCATTTGCGGAAAATAACAAAGTTGAATCAACTTACCGCACTGTAACACCGTCAAATTAGCAGCTTTTTACTAACAAATTTGGTAACAAAAATGTGCGTTGTAATAACAAACGACATTTAAAAAATGTATGTGCTTAGAGAAATAATAAAGGTAAATAAATAAATAGGGCCAAGCACGGTCTTTAAGTAGAACTTCACGTTTGTCACCCTATTCACCGTACGTTAATGTAGAATTTTATTTCTTTATGGCGCTGACCGCCAATTTTGTTTGAAAAGCGGTCGAACTGACTTTGCAAAACTAACAAACCTCCTGCATTACATTTTTTCTGTGGAAAAATATTTTTTTCCCGCATGGTGAGGCTACTTCAATGTTCCAAACTCACACTGCATCTCTGTCCCGGCAGAGTTGCGTGCTTTCTGGAGTGCTACATGGAACTGTGTAATTCCTTTTTATCTGTGAATGGCGCTTAGTGCCGGTTTGGCAACGCGACTAACTCGTACTTCCGGCTTTTGCTCGCGCAGGGACGCGGAGGACGGACCGGAACCGGAAGCGAAGAAGCCCTCGAGCAAGCCTCGGGCAGCGAAGCAGGCAACAACCACCACTGACCACAAGGCGACCGCCGCCGCCGCCGCCGCCCCCGCCGCACTCAGTGCATCGACTCCCACAACACCTCGAAGAACTGTTGCAACTGCCGCCAAGGTGTCCCCCAGGATTGTGGTCAGCCAGCACGGTGGTGCCGGTGGCGGTGCCGGTGGCGGTGCCCGTTCACCCCCGGCCGCTGCACCTCCCAAGGCTGCCTCACTCGCTCCTGTCGCGGCCGGGCGACGCGGGCCGGCCAGTGTTAAGAGAGCGGCTAGTTTCGCGGCACCTGTGGATCCCGGAGATTTCGGACCTCCGCCACCTCGGCCCATCAGCCGTCAGGCTACTGTGACGGCAGCAGAGGGCGCGGACATGGAGTACACCAAGGTGGGACACCCACCACCGAGGCCCGTCAGTCGTCAGGGTACTCTGCCGGCGGTGGAGAGCGCGGACATGGAGCAGTACGGCAAGATTGGACACCCACCACCAAGGCCCGTCAGTCGTCAGGGTACTCTGACGGCAGCCGAGGCCGCCACCATGGAGTCGTACGCCAAGGCAGGACCTCCGCCACCGAGGCCCGTCAGCCGACAGGGCACTTTTCAGGCGACGGAGAGCGCAGTCATAGAGTACGGCAGGGCCGACAAGGAGGGCCCGGGTGTTGACGGGCAGAATGGAGACGACGAGGAAGACGAGGTGGGCGACGAAGACCTCTTCTTTGACGACGACGGCGAGGAACTCACCGGTGAGGGAGTCAGCGAGGACGGGGCGCTGATGGAGGGATCCGGCCGCGGGGACTCCGTCATCGGCGACCTGGACGACGATGATGACGTCGACGAGGACGAGGAGGTAGACGGACTGCCCGAGGTGCATGACGCCCATCCTCAGTGAACTGAAGATTCCCCCGGATTTCCCGGCAATGGTAATGGAGACTAGGATGTGAAAAGGTCCCGTCCTTTTCAGTCTCACCCTCCTTGAAACGTAGATGTCTTTGTTCAATAAATTTCGGGATGCGCGATTGAGAACGTCTTGGGTGGGAGAATCACTTAACACTTGAATGTTGAGGCAGAGGCGGTGGTATTAATTTTTTAGTTAACTTTATTATTGCCTCGCTAAGTATTGCCATAAATATATGTTCCTAAACACGTTAACAAAATTTAACCTCACTTCATAGTGTAGAAATGTATGCATAAGCGGAGGACCCGCTTTCGTGCTTCCTTATTAAAGCTAACATTTTGTTAAATGGGAAAATGCAGCCCTCGAGTACGGTATTAATAATGTTTCAGCATTGTGTGAAAAAGTCCTAAATTACCATCTGGCTATGTAAAGGTACTTGACGCATAAACACGAAACGAGCTCCCCTAGTAGAAAGGAGACACCCGCGGGACCGCGAGGTTAGGTAATGGAAATGAGCTTCGAAATAAAACAAATTACTAAACTCAGTCGGACTTTGGGATTTAATTCATTTCATTTCAAACCAAATAACGGCGCCTTAGTAAAATTCGGCAAAAGGCCGAATGAAAATTGTCGCATGGAACCGGAACCGGACCCAGCCCTCCTTACGGCAACAGGTTCCAGTCACCAAACACACTCGCGGACACGCTTTGTTTTTGCGGCCTGTCTACCACCACCAAGAATTTGGGTCACTGCCGTTAATATGACGGGTATGTTCAATTAGTTGACCGCAGGCTCCCCTGCTCCGACTTGATTCGGTCCGGAGTCTTACACCGAGTGTTGTGTCCGGGCGCATGAGCAGAAAGGCGACCGAAAGAGAAAAGAGGAGAGCGAGACAGAGAGAGAGAGAGAGAGCGCGCAAGCGAGAGCGAGAGAGAAGGAGTGGTGGCAAAAAAGGATATCGACGACGCGCAGAAGCAGCAGTGGCGGGGACGCCGAAAAGTGAGCCGCCCGTCCGATAAGTAATTCAATGCGGCCGAAAAACAAACAAACACAATAATAACAATTATCACGAATAAATTTACGCTCTCCTAGGTTTGTTTTGCCGGAGCAGTTTCTAGATTCTCAGCGGCGAAAAAATAGCGCAGATGGCAAAGCGGAGTGCGCCGCGACGGGCGAACTTCAGAGGGCACAAGCTGAACGGGGCCCAGCATGAGTGGGCACGATGACGGCTGCAGTGCCACGCTGACGCGAAGCGTTAATTGCAACCGGGAATCATAAGATGAACATTTACGAGTTACCGTGTCGGGCGCGCCTGTTGCACTTTTGGTGCGTGTGCGTGTCTGTGTTTGCAGAGGAAGCAGGTGGAAGGGACACTGTATCGGACGGTATCAATTTTTGTATTCCGTCACTGCTTCCAGATTCAACGAAATCTGAGGAGTCTTGTCCTCATCACGGTTTAACAAATGAGAGCTATAGTCAGTAGCGAAGACCTCTATTTTGTGTGACATTGTTAAAAATAGACGGAGGTGGCCATCGTGGAAAACACTGTATTGGTTACTTCAAACTTTCATTTTTAATTTGCCATGTACGAAACTATGTTGTAAGTTTGAGAGACTTCGTTTTTGACCGTCAGAATATTTGTCAAAAGAATATTGTACGTTTACAATTCAAAATCTACAGTGGAAAATTTTTCCATGAACCTATACAAAAATTCTTTTCGCTGTGGTCTACGCGATCTGCGTTCGTTCCGCGCCAACCGCTGCGCCAAAGCTTATTCGATGCGCCATCTCCTTGACGGTGCACCGAACAGTGTACACTGGCGGCGGCAAACGCGCGCTTATGAGAAAGAAGCGGCCGCGGGTATACGGTTCACGGGGTTCAGTGTCGCTAAGGCGGGACGCATCTGCTAGTTTCCATGCCGCCGTCGCCGCCTCGGAGCGGGGCCGTGCGGAGCGCGGAGCGGAGGTGGCATTCTTTGAATCGCCGCGCCGCGCGCCACTTTGTGTGCGTTCTACGCGTCGCGGGGGCTTTGACTTATGTCGCCAAAGGAGGCTGGATGAGCGGGGTCGCCAAATGACGAGTCGGAAGAGGCCGTCCCGGAACTACATCCGCCAAAGAGTTATTCAGAATAATCTGTAGCAGGAGAGATCCGCCTGTCGCCGGCCAGAACTAAAGTCCTTTGCCCAATGTGTTAACCTATCACATTTAATCCAAGAATTCATACAGAATAAAATCAGTCCAGGATTTCTAGAAAGTCAGTGGCACCTTTGTGCAGTTCTAGTGCAGTCCAGCCGCGGCCAGCCGTGCGACGCGGGGCTAGGCGGTGCGGGGCGGGGCGGGTGGACGCGTTGGCATCTTCATGTTTTTGCTAGACGTGTCGGACGGGCGTGCCTCGTCGCTATTACGGCTCTGATGGCGGCGGTGGTCTGTCGCCAGCCACAGTTTGCACAGGGGATAGAAATACTGGCCGACAGAAGGAACGGAAGGGGAAAAAAAGGTTTCTCCTAGTACTTTTTTTATGACAAAATTATATTCACGTCAAATTTGAATGATCGTTAGTTACATTAATCTAAGTTATTCAGGTTTGCTGTGACTAAATTAAAACGGCACTAAAAATGCACGAGTTAGGCGCAACGCACTTGGTATAGCGATGCCATTGCTCCGAATTTTGTTTCTCTTGGGAGAGAGGAGAGCGACTCTTGCTTTAACTGATCTTGGTACTAGAGCGTCGATTTTTGAACTTTGCTGAATGCTCAAAAAAAGAAAAACTCTCTCTCAAAAAAAGAAAAAGCGAGCGAAAACCTGAAACCGTAATCTATATGGAGCTGTGTGCCATAATCATCACGTACACGGAGCGACGAAAACGAACATTGCTCTCAATGGGCAGCGATAACTGCCCTGTCTCTTTTCATACAGATAAATCACATCATTCCATCAATTTCTGTGGGTAAATCGGGGCAAATTATGATAAATCCCAACTTAATGTTCTGAAATAAGTATACATATAGTGAGTTGGACAATATATATGCTGGTGGTGTCCCTCCCACATAGAGGCTATTTGTCAGGGACATTATTTGTTCTGTGTTTTTTAAAATTTAATTATATCTCAGCAATTATTGCGCTCTTTTGGTGCGAGTGACAACGGCTGCGAGTTCCGTTCCACGAATCGCGAGCTGACTCCTCCTTCCGAGCGCAACCACGTATACACGTGTCCATTTTGAGAAGCAAACACTTTTTCCCTGCGTCACCGGGAGACGAGTTTGACGAGTTTAAAGTTGGGGGAACGACGAGAAACAAAAGCCGCACTCCACGGAGTAATGGCCAGGCTAGTGCAAAACTGGGATACCAAAAGCGTGTTAAAATGATGCGAAATCAGAGAAATTGTTTGGACAAGGTCGCGATCCTAATTCTGCCCCAGCATATCGGTCGCGTATTGTCTTCCTACCATGTCAATCTACATATTGTCTGAATCACCCTCTTCCCCTCCTCTCTTTCTCCGTCAACTCTCTCCTACGCCCCCCTCCCCCCACCGACTCCTTACGCACCACAGATTCCTCTCTGTGATACAGAGCCCTTCCGGGCATTTGTCCGTCCTCGCCAATCGGCGGGAATAAATTAGCTGATGGACGACATTTTTGCATAAATCGATGGCTCCCCGCGGCCATACGCCATGCGCGATACGAACCGCCGATAGCAATCCTTTGTGGGCATTCAGAAAAGGAGAAGAGCAGTGTGTTTAAAGCTTGCCGCGGGAAAGGGGGGCACCCACAGATGCCAAATACCTTTCAAAATCATGTCAAAACCTTAGTATCTGGACAACGTCGACTTTTCCTTTTCGACATCGGGTGGGGAGCATTCTTACCCAGCACCCAGCGGTGCTAAGTACTATAACATACACCCAGAAAATGATTTCCTTAAACCAATGATTTTTCTTTAAAACAAATTACAAGGTTATTTTTGACCTTTGGTTTAAGGTTCTTCCATTAACTTCAAGGAAATTAAGTTGGTCCAAGGAAATTTTTACTTTATTTTAACGTCATTTGCCTTAAGTTAAAGACAATTTTCCTTGTATTTTTTTTTTTTTTTGAGGTAGAAATAGCGTTGAAACAACGCATTTTGCTGTGTTTCATGACTACAATTTTCTGGGTGTAGGCGTCTACATTTTATTGCAAAAGGGAATCTTGGTGGTATCGTTTTTGGCATCTCCTTTTGATAGAAGATAGGCGTGTCTGCTATTTGTTGGGAGCTTCAAAGCGTAAAGAGCTTGTTTTGCTCACCAAATTAAAAACAGAAAGACGGTAATTAAGAAATGTTTGAGGACAAATAATGTGAAACAGACCACTATGAGGCGCCTGGAATGCCCCCGCCCCTAAAAGTGCAGTTATGTCCCCGGACCAGACACAGGGGCCCAAACAATCAACAGCATCATCGGCAATTAGGACGCGCTCCGGGCACACCTGCTGAACAAACAAAAACAATAGCAAGCGCAGTCCAAATACTAAACAGGCGTTTAGCTCTCCGCACGCGTTCACCGAAAAATCGTTTGCTGCGCGGCGCAGTCCTCGTCTGCTTCCAGCGAAAAGGCAGCAGGCAGAGCTCTAGAAAGGTATTGTGCGGCTTCGGTTTGCCCTTTTTTAGCATCTTCATGGAGCGAAAAAACAAGAAGATCAAGATGTAAAAAAGCAACAAGTGAACGGCACTCGGAGCTTTCGCGACCGAAGAAAGACGGGTGCGGGGAGTGAGCGGTTCGCGTAGGAAAAACGGGAGCAACACGTGTTTTGCCCAAAATTTTAATTACTTCGCGAGAAGTTATTAGAAAGGGCAATTAGAAGTCGAGACGTTCCACCAGATCCGCGCAGCGCTTCAAGGAACATGGCAGACAGACATTGTGTTAATTGCGCCGGATCGCAGGTGGTTTGCTGCGAATTCCACACGGCGGGCTGAGGGCGGCGGAAGCAGAGCAACCAAGGGGCCGGGGAGAGAGAGAGAGAGAGAGAGAGAGAGAG